ATAGTACATATTATAAATAAATAATATATAATATATATTATAATAAATATATAATAAATAAATTTCAGAATTTATTATTTAAATGAATTTATTTTTTCTTTTATTTAAAGTAATTATTTTTTTTATTTATTATTTTTATTTCAAATTAAAATATAAGAAGAATTAAAATTTTTTGTTATAAAATTTTTTATATAAATAACTGCAAATAAAAATAACTATGGTAATATTTCATAAAATCATTTTGTAAATTTTTTCGTGATTCATGGATCGAGAATTTATAAATTGAGATATAAATCACAAAGATTATATAATATGCAAAAAATAAACATTATAATATTATAATAATGAAAAGAAAATTATTTATATATTGGAAATATTCTTGTCACACTTCATAATTATTTTGCAATATGTAAATATTATATTTTCAATATTTTAGAAAATTTAGTCATATTTTAAAAATTAAATTAATAAATTATGCTATCGAAATCAATAATAATTCTATTTTAAAATTCTATATTATAAAATATCGAATATGTAGATCAGAATAATTTTTTATTAGTCATTTGAAGGCAATCAGCTAAAATCAATTAAAGTTTCAATAATATTTTCATTTATTTTAGAAATTAAAATGAATAATTTCGTAAAAGAGATATATTTAACTATGGTTTTATTTAACTAGGATATTTTATAAAATATGAAAAAAAAATAAAAATTTGAGAATTGATTTTACATATGCAAAAAAACTTCATATCGAAAAATAAATTTATATTCATATAAACAAATTTTCAACAAAATTAGATTTGTTAAAATGGATGAATTTCTTTTTTAAGATATAAGTATATGAAGATTTTTATAACTTATATAGTATTAATATTTAGATATTGAAATCAAAAAATTTTAATTTTAATTTTAATTTATTAATTTATTTAAAATACATAATTCGAAAAGAAAATTTATATTTTCATTTATTTATTTTAAAATAGATAAAATATGATAAAATGATAATTTTTTAACAAATAAAAGTTTAAAAAGAAAGAAAATTGATCTTTCACATTTTAAAGATACTGTGAAAAAAAGTTGTTGAAAGTTTTTCAAGGAACTCGTAATCTTGAAACTGTTAATATACAAGAATTGTAACAATATATATTTTTGTTAAATAACACCTTCGGTTCGTATTTCTATTTTTGTTTTTATTATCAAAAGAAAAAAACTGATTTCTCTAAAAAATCGTTTCTAAATAACAATACTTTTAATAGAAAACTATGTCGAATGAAAGAAAAAGACTTTTTATACGAAATATTTTTTGTTAAATGATATGAAATCAAATATTTAAAATTTAAAAAAAAATTTTTAAAAATAAATATTTAAAAATGTTTAAAAGTTTAAAATTATTATGTTCGCCAATACAACTATAAATAAGTTTGTAAAAATTTCAATAAACTTTCAGAAATTTTTATTTTTATTTATTATAATTTAAAGAAATTCTAATTATTTAATATTAAAAATAAAATATAGATTCCAAAAAATTGCGTATCTCTAATTATAATTATTTGTATTATAACAACTTGAAAAAGAAATTAAAAAATTAATTTATTTCTTAAAGATTTCTTAAATAGATTTGTTATAATTAAAAAATTTTAAATATAATTTGAAATATAAATAATTTAAATAATTTTTTAATAAAAATTAAAAATGATTTATTTTAAATATTATATAAATATTTTAATAAAACATTTGTTTTAAAATAATATTTAATACGAGTTAATAAAATATTTTAGAAATTATTAATGATAGTAAAAACATATTTTAGATAAAATGTTAAATTATATGACGTAAAAATAAGAACATTTAAAAAATATGTGAAACTTTGTTTTCTTAAATTGAATGAATTCTTAGAATAAATTTATATGAAATAAAATATAATTCTCTACAAAAATATTAATTATATTTATAGTGAAAATATAAAAGTATATAGCATATAAAATTTTGTAAAATTTTATTACATGAAAAATAATAAAAAATAAAGAAATGTTTACCATTTAAATGTATAATAAGTTTTTCGATTTTATCAGTATCTTTTAAACTGATGTTTTTTGCTATTATAAGTGATTATATAGACAATAACGAGTTACTTACTTATTGTATTATATTACTGTATACAAAATAAGTAATTTTATTTAAAAAAATAAAATTGACTTTCATTTATCTTTTACGTCCAATTAAAAAAATTTGTCTTGCGTCATATTATGTATCCTTCAAAATTCCTTTTCAGTTTTCTTGTTTCAAAATATTCTTTAGTGTCGTCAATAATTTCGAAGATAATCGAGTCGAATATTTTTTAAATGAATCTCCCTATATTTTTAAAACACTATTTCTTTATGTAATTATTATTTTAAAAAATATATTTATAAAATTACATATATTTATAAAATTATAGACGAAAACATAAAAATATTTATTCCTTATTCATTTATTTCGAAAAATCTATTTTTTCCAATTCAGCATAAATAATACACATTTTTTAAAAATATACAAATTTGTTTTTTTTTTCTATTCAATCGATAATTCATTATAATTTTTGAAAACACTTACCTGATTGGGCGTTGCTGTGTAACGTTTAATGGAGGAACTATGGCTTTCGATGGAATTATTAGGGCTGAGACTACGATTATTGCTTGTTAGGACAGTCATTCGATTATTCGGTGTATCGCTTTGCGTGTCATTTCTTATCGAACCGTATAAATAACCAGTGTTGAAACTGAAATATAATTTTCCGAAAGTTACTACATTAAAGAAGAATATAAACATGTTCGTGAATTTGTTGTCCTGAATAGACATTATTGTAATTACCGTTGTTTGAAAAATGATATGTACACTAGAAATTTCCACTACTTGGATATTTAGCTTTGAGAATGTCACATAATTGCACATAATTAAAGAAGTAATTGAAGAAAAAAGGAATTAATATTTAACTAGCAGATATCGTATTCGATTTTGATATATAAATATACTTTTAATTGTCTATGATCGAGATCTAAAAGCAGAACGAAACAAAGAAATGCATCTTTAACATTTTAATGCACCAATATTTCTTTTACTTTGATATTTCAAAGGAGAAAAGATATTAATAGTATAATTTGAAAAAACAAATATATATTTTTAATGATATATAAGAAGATATTGATTTCTTTTTTGCATGATATCACATATATTTTAAAAATGAATAATTTGAATAAATTAATATGCTATGATTTTAAAATCAATTAAAGATATTAATGTAATATATTTATAAATTATTTATATTGATTTTCATAATGTCAAAAATTAATTGCAGAGAAATAAAAATAGTATAAATATATTTATTTTTTTAAATAATTTGTTAATGATTATTAAAGTTTTTATAATTTATCATAATAAAAAATATTGCAATTTCGAATAAAAAACAAAAATCATAGTTCTATATATATTGTATATTTTTTATTTTATTGATTTTTAACAGAAAACTTTGAATTACATATTATTGCAATAGCAAAAAAAAATATCTATAAAAAAAATTAACGAAAATTAAAGAATAAAATTTTTTAAAATTTGGTATTATTTGGTATTAAAAAATATTTACTTGAATTATTTCGAATAATTAATTAAATTATTTTGAGGAAATGTATCAATACATATGCATTTAATTCCTAAATAATGACTTGATGGATTTCGAGATACATTTCTCTGTTCATGCTCATATTCATAAATATTGTTAACGTTGTTGCATGTTATATCCATTATCCTATTGATTTGTTTTCAATGTGATTTATCAAAAGATTATGAACATTTATATAAATTCACATTTTTATGACATTTTTATGTAATTAGAGTTCTAAATAGAAATTTATTTTATTCATTAAATAATTTTAATTTAAATATTTGATATATATTTGCATAATATACATATGCATGCTATGCATTCTATGCATCTTTTATTTATTGCCCTTTAACATTAATATTTCATATAAAATATATTTTTTTAATAATTAATAAATTATATAATGTAATTGTATATTATATTATATAATGTAATTTATTATATATTATTATTGTATATTATAATATAGTAATGTAATTTGACAATTAAAGTGATTAAATAAATTAGAGTTCTATATTTCTTAAAATACCATATTATTATTGAATTTAAATATTATTTTATTTAAGTTTTTATTACATATTTAAATTATTCTTTTCAAAAAATAAAAAAAAAGAAATTTTAATAAAAGACAATGTCAATTATAACAATATTTTGAAAAATACGGAAATAATTATAAAGAAAAACATAATTAAATTGTTATATATATATATTTTAATAAATTACTTATTCAGAGTATTATTATATGAAAGAGTTTATTTAACTTTATTAACAAAATTCAGTTATTTTATTATAAATAAAAAATAACAATATATAAATTTAAAAAAATAATTATAAAAAAAAAATTATAAGTAACTATAATAATATGTATCTATTCATATTATCTATTTAATATGATAAATAATAATAATTTATTAATAATTTATTAATTAATAATTTTTCTAATAAAAAAAATTGAGAATATTGAGAATATCAAACTATTTTATGTTTAATTAGAATTATGTTTAATTAGAATTATAAAGAAAATAAAGAAGTAAGTACTTTTCTTTACATTTTCATTAAAAATTGAAGAAATATCTTTTTTTAGAAGGTTATACAAGATAGTAAAACTTTATATAAAACTATAACAAATTATAAAAATCTGAAAGTAAATCGCTAAACAAGTTAAGGTTTCTTTCTAACTTTTGTTCTAAAAATAAGGTACATAAGTTGAATTACTATAAATATTCAAAAATTTATTAAATTTAATTCTGCAAATTAAAATATGATAAAAATTAGAAATAAAAAATTATTAAATTTCTTTTTAATTATTGATTTATTAGTTATATAATTTTTTTAATTTTGTCTTAGAAATATTTTTATAAAAGAAGTTAAATTAGTGAAGTAAATTACTTTCATGTAATTAAATAATTTTGATTTGTAATAAATCTCAAATCTTCTTTTATTAATTTATGAAAATTTTAAAAATATAATTTTTTATTTCTATTCTGCTCAATATTTTTTCAAATAGTTCCTTTTTGTCATATTTAATTGTTTAAAAATTAGTAGAAATTGCAATAAATAATAATAAATTGAAGAAAAAAAAAGAAATTGCAATAAAATATTCGATAAAAAATATTTTAATTTTAAAATATTTGACATTGAAATATATAAAATCGAATAAAGCACTAATAGATTAAAATCTTTAAAATAGACATATGATTAAGAAAATTAATTATCGTAAAATTAATTTAATTGATTGATCATTAAATTAATCGTTGATTGATTTAATTAAAATTATAATTAAATTGAAATTATAAAAATTTAAAAATTATTTTTAAAATTTTTATAAAATTTTTAAAATTAGTAATCAATAATAAATATAAATAAATTTTTTAAATCTCATTGCAAATTTTATCTCAGTGGTTTAATATTATTTGACAAATGCTTTATAAGTTTTATCGTCTTTCGATATTTGGCCGCGAGCAACATCAAAAATAAGGCGAAAAGAACAAAAACCTCATATAGAATAGTAATCTCACTGAAAAAGGAATTTCAATAGTTAGTTATTATTCAATCCTGCAATTGATGATTAAAATTAAATTTTTAATTTAATCATAATAAAACAACTAAAAAACAAAAAAATCGTAATAAGCAACTAAAGATATGTATTTAGTGATTAATCACAATTAGCGATTAAAAATTTAATCATTAATTGTGATTAAAAATTAAAGTGATAATTAATCTTTTAAATTAATACCTGATTCTATTTTGAGAAAAGAGTTATTTTAAGTTTTTTTAAATTATATTTATTTTCATTGTAGAGATATAATTTTTTTTAATTGAAAAAAAATTATTTAAAAATGATCAAAAACAATATATTCTAATACTAGACTAATAGTAGTTGTCATTATTTATAATTATTTATATAAAAATATTTCTAATAAAAATAAATAGAGATTAAATTGAAACATAATATGTGTAAAGATGGAAACTAGTACATTACATATCTATTATCTAGTACATAAGATATTATCTTTTATTATTATCATTAAAAAATTAAATTTAACAATTTAAATAGATAATATAATATAATATCAATATGTAGATTGATTTTTTCTATTTTATATTAAATTAGAAATTAATATCTACGAATTTAAAAATTAAATTACAATATCGAAGAAAAAATATGATAAAATAATTTTAGAAATTAGGAAAACATGAAAATCAATATTTCATACAGAAATGAATGAAAAGATTTTATTATAGTTTATTTATAGCACTATTTAGAATATTTTTGCCTCTTACATATTATATTATATCTTATATATTAACAAGATTTACTTAATAAAATAAGTAAAATAATAAAATAAAGTAAGTCTGAAATAGAAGTTTGATTTTGATTAATTTTATTTAATCTATTTTTATTTATTCGTTAATAAATAATTAAAATTTCAAGTGTCGTATCATCTCCATTTTTAATCTCATGAATAATATTTTTAACCATTACTGTTAAAAAAAAAATATGATTAAATTTTTTCATATCCTTTTTGACATTGTATATCTACAACAAAAAAAATAAGTAAAGAAATGAAATGAAAATCAAAAAAAAAAGTAAAAAATAAAAAATTTTTTTGCCCGTATTATAAACTTAAAATATCATAGAATAATCACTTTAGTAAAATATTAAAATCATAAAATATTAAATATTTAATGAAATTAATATCATTACACATGTTATCACAATTATCAAATATTTTTCAAAAATAGATTTGTTTTATTCTTTATCAATATATAATTTTTCATAAAATACATCAAATATTCATCATAATCAAATTTTGTTGCAATTGATAATTTGAACATGTTTTTAAGCGATTAATGAATAAAATATTGTCATGAATTAATCAGTATGTTTCAATTACTGTTAAATTAAATAATTATATATATTAAATTAATATATTAATTATATAAATTATGGTTGTATAAAGGACGCGCTCAAGTTTAATATACATAATACAATCGAAATTCAATAATCCAAGTATAATGCAATATATAATATTAATATAATATAGAAAATTAATATCTTTATAGATATAGATAAAATATTTCGAATTCAATTAATCATATAAATACATGATGAAAAATCTCTCAAAATAAACGTAATAACATGACTAGTGAGTATCATGAATGAAAACCATCAACTGAGCAGTTAAAGAGGTTACTATTTTAATTCAATATTGATACTTTCATTTATTGCTTTCACGAAGAAATTGTGAAATGTTAAATTTCAATATTTATTTGTAAGAACAGTAAACAATCGTCTCTCAAAATCAATACTAGAGAAGTAGTTCTTTTCCACAATAATAAACACAATAATAAATATTTTGTGACTATTAATTTCATTGAATAGAAACATTGTCTTATTCCTGGATTCTAAAATCTCCCACAAATATTCTTAAATTTAGCAACTTAAGAGCACTTAAAATTAAATATTATATTAAGATCAATATTAGACAATTTTATTAAATTTGTTTAATATTGAAACAATTTAACTTTCATCCTAATACTTTATTTACATATTTTTTTTATATTTTTTTTAAAAAAATATAAAAATGATGTTATTGTGCTATTTATAAAAAAATTAATTCCAGATTTTCACTTAATAAAAAATATAAATATAAAATATATTTAATATTATTAAGACAAAACATAAAAAATAATAAAAAAATATAATAATATTTGTTATAAAAAAATCTTGTCGACACATATAATTTTTATGTTCTATAAAGTGCTTTAGATGATTAACGAGTAACTATTGTTTTGTAATTGTTACAATTATGTATTTATTATATTATTTTTTTAGATTGCAACTAAATATGTTTAGTTTTGAATAAATACATAAAAGAAAAATTTAAAAAACTGTTTTTTCTTCATTTCTTCTTTATAGCGAAACAAAATTAACAATAGTAAAATCGAGAATAATACGAAATTGAATACATGAAAAAAATCTGAAAAATGTGAATATTAATTTTTTTATTTTAAATAAAATCATTAGTAAAATTAATTATTTATCTTTTTATTGTGTCAATATGATAAACACGTTAAGTTATGAAAATAAGAAATGGTTAAACAATTTAACATAAAACATTTATGTTAAAACAACATAACAAAAAATTTTAAAATATTCAATTATATTAAAATTAATAAATTATTCCGTTTGAGAGCTACAAAGTCTCCAAAATAATATTAATAGACTTCAGAAATCATATGATAAATACATTATCTAATTAGAATCACTTTCTAAATCATTTATTTACTATTTTTTTTATTTCTTTATCTATGAATATTATGTATTATTTATTCAAACTTACGTTGAATTGGAACCTAATATAGTGTTTCGACCGTTATTTAAAACAGTGTCTCTACCAAAAGATTCATCTTCCGTTTGTGACCAATGTTTCTTCCTCAAAGATGGCCGTGATAATTTCCACGAATAACCTCTTTGTATCCTTGGTGGACTGTAGCAAAAAATAGTTATATAATTTCAAGTAGAATGAAAGCGATAAGGTTTCATTCAATTTTACGTTTAATGTGATTTATTCTAATTTTCTAAGTATAAAATTGATTTTGTATGTAAAATATATGCATTACCTTGAACTAGATGATTCTCTCGTTGCTGGATTAATAACAGCCGTGACAAGGCTTATTCGTCGAGAAAATTGTCCGGCAATGAGATTTTTAGTTGATATTTTGTTTGAAACGTCTGGTAACTTTAACAGGCCGGAAGGAATACTACATTGACTCTATAAAATAAAATTTCGTAGGCGATAGAATAAAATTTGTATATTTTTAAAGATAAAATAAAGAATATGAATAAATTATAAATATTTATTTAATATTAAAAAAATATAGATGTTTTCTTTTTTAAAAATTCTCTTTTGAGAAATTATCTATGTAATTTAAGTATTTTAATGTTCATATAATTTAATTAAAATAGCAAAATAAATAATATTGATATTGTTAGATATAGAGAATATAATTTAGACATACAACATCAAAAAAATATTTATTTATATTGTATAATATTTTTAAATAAATAAAAAAATATTTTAAAATAATATCTTTAAAATAAATATGTATAAAAATAAACATATATAAGATATTAGATCGTGTGATACTTTATTTATTTTTTATGCAAAGATATTTTTAAGATAATAATATTTTTTTTTAAAATAAAAAATTTTTTTTATAATAACTGTACGGTATAATAAATATAAAAAATCTAAATTATTATATCAAAAAGATAAAGTAAATTTTTAATTAAAAAAAATTGAAATATGTTCAATTTTTTATAAATAATTTTTTTATTTAACATCAAACAAAAGATACAAAAAAAATAACTTTATGGATTTATCTCTCAAAATAATTTTTGACAACAAAAACATATCAGTTTCGACAAATATCATTTACAATATATTTATAATAAATTCTGATTTATTGTAAAATTTAAAAAATAAATTATTTTATGTCACTCTATATAGAGAGTATTAGAAGCAAACTGAATAATTTCATCAAAATATTCGATATTGTTATTACCATAATTATAAGTTAATTAATATCTAAAACTATTTTAAATAATTTTCATAAATTTTTGCACATTATTTAAAGTACTTATTTTTGAAAAGATAAAAGTGATCACTTATATATATAATATAAAATATTTGATCAAAAGTATAAGCATTTACAATATATTTTAGTAATTTTTCACAATAATTTTTGAATTGCAATTTACGAATAATAGATATCAATCATACATATATACACATAATAAAAAATATAAGTTAACCAACTCGATAAAAAGTTCTTTTTATATATTTTAAATTGTTATAACTTTGTAAAAAAAAAATTATACAACAAATGAATTCGTTTTTTTGAAAGATGTTTTTATATAATGTAATAAATAAAAAAGTAAAGATATTTTTTTTCTAAAAAATTTGAAAAATTCAATCTGCTATAGAAACACTGAAAAATTATTTTCGTAATTGAATCCAGAATAGACTATTATAGAGAGAAGATTGAAATCTTCTCTTTACTATAACCTAAAATTTGCCATATGATTTTTTTCAATTTTATTAAAAGTTATTAAATTTTGAATATTACAACTATAATTTAAGAAACATTAAATTTTTCTTATTTTTTCGATTAAATGTATATTCAAAATATTCAATTCAAAAAATTCAACAAAAAAAAATTATACAACAAGTTTGGGAATGTAAACAAAAGATTTCATTTTAGATTCTATTGTAAATTCAATCTAAAAAATATTTATCAGTATTTTTTAGAACCGATTGAATTTTTCATATTTTTGAAAAGAAAAGTATCTTTATGTTCTATTTGTTATCTATTTGTTATATATTTGTTATCTATTTGTGATATAAAAATATTTATAAAAAAAGGAACTCTAGGACTGTGAAAGTAAAAGTTTTATGCTATAAAACTAGTTCGTTTGATTGTTGTGAAATTTTTTTTTTTACGAAGTTATAATAGTTTGAAATACCCATTGGTTGATGTATGCTTTTTACTGTATATGCCATTTATAAAAGTTAGTTAGTTCAAACGATAATTCTCATGAAAGTTAGAATCACAATTTTACGTATTTTCGGTTGATCTGACAATCAGTTGCTTTCTTCGAATTAACTAAGTTAATGAAACATAGAAACAAATAATATCATTCACATAACAATTACATGAATCGTTCATTCGTACTAAATTAAACAAATTTATGATACTATGAGTAAATACTATGAAATCTCCATATTCTGAAAAACGGATAAATATTAAATATAGATTTATATAGAAATATAGATAAATAATTTTTCAATAGAATTAACAAAGAAGTAATAAAAAGAAAAGAAATAATCGATTCTCGATCTCGAGAGAATATTTATCATATCAAATATTTAAATGAAATTTTAAACAAAAATTTATTTTTGTTTTTAAAATCGAAAAGTCATAATGATAAAAAATAAATCATACAGAAGAAAAAATTTTTGGAGGCGAGGAATATTGAATTTTTGGAGGAATATCGAAATATTTTTATCTAAAAAAAAAAAAATATGACGAATAAAGTTTCACTGTACTATAAAATTAGATATTGCATCAGATGAATATCTTATAATCAAATGCATATACTGAATATAAATGGACATTCATTTATTTATTTCACATCATTATTTCAATCGCTGTGTAAAAGAATGATCAAATATGTAAATCCTATTAAAAGAAAATTTAATATGCTTTCAATACAACTTTCGTAAATACTCGATTACTCTTTAAAATTTATAGATTTTTAGATCTTTTTCTTAAATATCCATTGCTTCTTTCTATATCGATCGATTTCGATGAAATTTTACATATATAGCTGACAAAATCTATAATTATAATTTAAAAAAAAATTTTTTTTTTACACATTATTTAATAAATTAATTTTTCTAAAATTTAAAAAAAAAATCAAATTACTTGTTTAATTTTTAGAGAAGTTATTCAATTTCAAATGATGAATATATTAGAAATCTGACAGCAATATTATTAATAAGCAATTTATTAATAAATCATTTGCTTCTTTTTATGTTAATATTATTATTTATAATAATTAATTTATAATGTTTTATTATTATATGTTATGTAAGTTTTATTATTATATATATTTTATTATTTTTTTCCTTATTTCAATAATGTTATTTTGAAGTTTATTTCTACATTTATATAATTTTATATCATTAAATTATGCAATTTCAAGTAAATCTCAAACAAAATTCAATAAATTAAATAAATTTCTTGAAGTATATAAAGAAAATAAAAATAATCAGAAATTTTTGTAAATGAATATTCATTGTTGTTTTCGAAGTGTATAAAATATTCACAAATAAAATAATTGAAACTTTAAATTTAACATATTCAATTTTGAAAGAATCTATAATCAAAAAAGAGATTGTAATTTTAAAACAAATTATTCTATTTTAAAAAATGATCAAATATATCAATACTTTTTATCAATAATTATATTATGCTTCTAATAAAATGTCAACAATGATAAAAAAATTGATACGAATTAAGTATTAAAATTATTTTAAAAATATATACGTACTCCTGAACGATCTATAGATTCGATTGACAGTGCCGCAGTAGGATAAATAGCTCGATAATTTAAATCTCTGTAACCGACGTCGAGAGTGGTGTTCGGTGAATCTTGAGGAGTGGCCGCTGTATGAGTAATTATCGGTGGTTGACCGGCAGTACCCATCATTTTATTCTCCTTTTGAATATTACACTTAGGCTCGTCCATTTGATGCTTCCATACGGTATTGTGTTTTTCCTTGCTCTTGTTATCTTTATATTTGCGTAACTCTTCCGCACTCTGCCAGGAATTTTTTCGATCCTAAATTTAAATATTTGCTTGCTTGGGATAAATTGCAAGTTTTCTCATATTTATGCATAAATTTTGTTTATTTCACGAGATAATAGAATAAGAAAGGACTAAGAAAGGATTCAGAAATTTAGGAATATGTAATATTCTTGTGTTGTAATGCTTAAAAATAAAAAATTAATTAGATAAAAAATTAATTATGTTTAAAAAAAATTATGATAAAATTATGTTTTTTGTTAAATTAATTTATTAATTAATTTTTGAAATTGAAAATAATTTTTTACTAAAGGTAGCTTGTTATTTATATATAATTTATAATAATCTATTTAATGAATTATCTATTTCTTTTATGTTTTATACACATATTATTGGATTTATATTTTGTCATATAATTTATACACATTCTAATATTCGATTAGAATATTTTAAATACTTACATGACACATTAAATTTTATACAGATAATTTTCAAAGTTTTATGTATTTTATTTTATATAACAGATATATTTATAATATATAATAGATTATATCGATAAATAAATTTTTATTTTAAATATTTTAAATATTTAAATATTTTATCATAAAATTCTATAATTTAAATTTGTAAAAAACTAATTTTTCCAGTTATTTTTCATAATAATATCTTTAATAATATAATAATATATAAAAATATGTTAAAAATATAATAAACTCCATTAATTTTGATATTTCTTTCTTCTTTTCATTTCTTTTTTATGTTAGAATGTAAGCTTTTAAAGTATATATTTGTCAAAATAAAATAAAAAAAATATCTTCATATTATAAATATTTAGCATAATATCATTAATATAATATTAATCATTTATAGATAAATAATAATAAATTTTTTAAATATATCAATATATAATATTGGATTATTTTAAATATTTGATTTCTATTTGATTTATAAGATATATCTTTACATATGTATTTTTTAAAATATCTTTTAAAAAGATATATTTTTTTAAGATTTTAATAAAAGTTTTAAGTTTTTCTAAATGAATTATTAACAAATTATATTATACTAAAAAATATTAAAAGATACTAAACATATAAAAATAGAACTTCTATAATCGCAAAAAAAAAAAGAAATAATAATAATTCATTGCTATTATGCAGTATAATTTCTTCTAAAACGAATAAATTATTTGTTTTATCCGAAAAAGAAAATTTTAACGAAATTCATTGTGCTCTATTTATAGTGCATCTTTCTATTAATCTTTCTATTAATTATAAACGATGCTATCTAACTTAATAAGCAATTATTAAGTTATTATATATGAAATGTCTCTATGGAATTTGAAGCTGTCAAACTGATACTGGTACTATCCATTAAATTTTGATTTATTATTAATTGAAATGTTCAAAGAATTCAAAATAATATAAATATAAGTAAAACGAAACTTTAATATGAGAAAACTTTAAATAATATAATAACACTTAATAAAAAAATTTATGTACTTTTAGACATTAAAACATTATCATTATAACAGTTTGCTGTACTATTTTATATTCATTTGTAAAATTTGAATTTTTATTTGCAATAAATAGATAAATAGATAAATAGATAAATAGATAAATAGATAAATAAAAGATAAATTATTATTTGATCCTTTCTTTATTTTATAAATATTGAATTAAAAAAACTGCAATTAAAAACACAAAAAAAGAAACGAAAGACAATTTTTATAAAGAATAAATAGGGAATTATATTTTTAAAACGAATTATTAATGTTTAAAATTACTATAGTTGTAATAATAATTTAAAAATTAATTGTTGTGTAAAAATAATATTTATAAATTTATTAATAATAATTAAATGTTTAAAAGATTCTAATTATATTTAAATCTTATCTACTTTTCTTGAAAAGTTTAAAAATATAATATTTATACAATACCATCAATATATAACAGAATCTTCTAAATATATATTTATTTTTATTTATATTTTTTTATTACTTTTTATATTTATTTATTTATTATTTTTGTATTCATTTTTTTCTTTCTTTTTTTTTAAAAAAAAATATATTCTATTTCAATTTTTTAATGAATTTTTCAATCATGATTAATTATACTAAAGAAATAATTGTAATAAATATATGATGAATGAATATTAGCAAGATTTAAAAATGTTAGCAAGATAAAAAAAATTAAACTTAGAATATCATAAATAAAATATATGAGCTTAAACTCGAAAAAAGTATAATAAAAATTACAACATAACATTTAAAAAAAGTTAAAATTATTTAACATTTATTCGTATCAAGATTGACGATTTTATATCAGAAAATAAATCGAGAAAAAATGCCATAAACAATAATATTTCAAGAAATATCACTGTTTGAAATATTATTGAAATATTATGAAACTATTTCATGACAAACAAGAAGATAAATGACATTTCGAATGAGAGCAAATTACTTGGTTCAAATAGAAAAAATAAGAAATAGATGGAAAAATGGATTTTTTTCACATGAAAATATATAGAAACTTAAATAAATAATGATAGCTATCAAAGTTATTTCAGAATCATTTTCAAAAATATTATTTGTGATAAAAAATGAATCTTAGATAATAATTTTCAAAATGATAGTTCAGTTTTAACGAACTATATGTATTTTGATTTTTTTATTTTCGACAGATATTTTGATTTTCAAGATTATTTTAAACTGATAATTATTTATAGTATTTCATTATACGTAGTATAAATAAATAAGCAGAAACGGATTCCTAAAGAAATAAATAAAAAATAAAAAAATAAAATTTTTTCATTTAATGTTTCATTTTTGAGTAAATCAAAAAAAAAAAATTTAACAAATAAAATAATTTCTAATTTAGATATAAATTATCGATAGGAAATAATTTTTTTATATGTGAAAATAAACAAAAAATATATAATAAATTTTTTTCATTTAAAAATTATTATTTTCAAAAAAATTAAATTTAAAAATTTATCGATTATACAATTATATGATTTCTTAGCTGTAAATATTCAATTACAATTTTCTTAAAAATAAGGACTAAACAATGAAATTCCAAAAAATTATATTTACAAATAATCTATAAGATATTGATGATTCGAAAAAAGAATTGTTTTGTTTGTTCTTAGACATTAATGTTAGACATTAATGTCAACATTTTTATTTTAAAATGAATAATGAATAATAAATTTAAATTAAAATTTAATTTAAATTTAAGTAATCTATATCTAATTCACTATATTCTATATTTTATTCTATTTTTATTAAATAACAAAATATGTTTTGTATTTCAGTAATATATTTTATGAAGAAATTTTATTTTTATAATTTATTTTATTTAAAAGAAAAGGAATAAAATATTATCAAAAAAATAATTTTAAACAAATTATAGAACAAATAATAGTTATATAATAAATTAATATTTATAAATATATAACAAAATAAATTGAATTATACAAAGAATAAATAAATAATAATTTGATTTATCTTTTATTAGATGTTTTTTATTATTAGAAACAAGTATATTTTAAACAAGTATATATATTTTAAACAAATATATACTTCATATAATTTAATTTGATTAATAGTATCGCTGTCCACTGATCGATAAATAAACCTCCTTTGATAGATTGCTTTACTCTCTTCTTCAAACAAATTGTTTCTTGCATAAAATGTTTCGCAAGTATGGATATAACTTGAAGAAATCGATAAAGTTTTTAAAAAAATACAAAAAACTCATGATAAACTTCTCTACAAACTGTACTTCATATTTATGTATTCAGTTTTTTTTAATTTATGACTCAATTATTGTTATATGATTTTCCAAATAATATATATATATGTACATAATAAGATGATTGATATAAAATTTCAATATGTTTCCTTCATATTAATATTAAAAAAGATATATTTTTGAATTAATTTCATTAAATATTTATCTTGTAAATTATGTGAAATAATATAATATAATATAATACATATTCTATTTAAGAAATTTAGGCTTTTCATTTCTTTTTTTGAACTGAAAAACAAATATTTATGCAAAATTTGGAAACAAAAATTCAGAAAATGCACATGATATGTAAAAAAATTTAAAATATTCAAAATGTAATACACATTATTATATTTGTGTATATTTGTTTAAAAAAATATAACAAATTTGTATTTTATTGTATTTTTATTTGTATTAAGCTCCATTTCTTTAATCATGTAAAAAATTATTCATAACAATTTACTAATAATCTATTTATAATAATTGATGAAAACGCATAGATAATGCGTTATATGAAATAAGATATATAAATAAATTATATATGTATTTAAAATGTTTAGAGATAAATAAAAATATTATTGAAATCAAATAATATTGAATAATGAATAACTTAAATATAATTTTATATATTATTATGTATTAGTACATCTCAAAAGTATAATTTTACTTTTCTTTAAATAAAATTTTATAATTTTTATTATTTGATCTAATTTTTTAATTTCTATAAAAAGATATCGGAATACTCCATTAAATCTAATCATTCAAAAATTATAATTGAAAATTTTCTAAATTTTTTATTCACATTATACTATACTATAATAATAATAGTATAATATACATATTATAATATTAAATTAATTAAATTTTTTTTATTTATATTATTAATAATGAATTAATTTCCTTACTTGGGTATAAGTATCACTATCAGTAATCGAATGAGATCTCGAAATCCTCGAAGAACCATNCTGCCTATTCCTGCTTCTTTCGCAGCAAGCCTAGCCATTTCTCTTTGTTCTCGTTCTCTTCTTTCATTTCTCTGCAAAAATAAATCAATTTATGTAATTTGTTATATCTGATTAAACGAATTATGTATTATGAATTATGTATAAAATCTTGTTTATATTAAACATCAATTTATTACTATTAATTTTTTGATAAATATATTACTGTATTAATTATAAAATTGCATTATGAATATTAGATGCTTCTATACATTTTTTTTTTTCAATAAATTTTACATTGAACTTTACATTGAATCAANTATATATATATAATTATAATAAGAATGAATGTATATTTTATTATTTTATTATTTTGTTATTGATTATTAGTCAATAATCAAAAGTCAAAACGTACTATTTCTACGATTTTATTGAAAGTTATTATATTTATATAAAATTTCAATATAAATTAATTACAGTTTATTAAGAATCAAAAGAAATTGTAACTTTATATTTCAAATTAAAATAGATAATAATTAAAATTTAATTATTTGATTTTTGAAAAAAAATAAAAAA